GGCCATCTTTTGCCTCATTTCTTACCTAGCCTTAAATCATTGGACGGGTGTTGCCTCAGACAAACTGACACCTGGGAAAGACAAGTTAAAAAAAGCCAGTCTCCCACTGTGTCTCGGGGGTCATCTTCAGTCGTTCTAATCTACATCTTGCCTTTGAACTCAGATAACCCTGGAGAAGAGAGTGAGGTTGATGATTTTGCACAGGTCTGCTTCACTTAAATCCAATTCACTTTCAAGTCAAGACATCACCTTTCTGATGTCATAGGTCTTCTTTGAGAATGAAGGACGAACAACAACTATGTGCCAAGCACTGTGCTAAGTGCTTTTTCTAAATATTATCTCATTTGATCCTCACAACAACCTTGCTCTGAGGTAGGTGCTATTATTATCTTCATTTTATAATTGAGGAAACTGAGGCAGGCAGAGGTTAGGTGACTTGTCCAGGGTGACACAGCTAGGAAATATCTGAGGCTGGATTTGACTTCAGGTTTTCCTGTCTCCAGGTCTACTGCTCTATCCATTGCATCACTAGCTGCCTGAAGAAACCCAACTCTTCACCTTTAGGTCCATTAGGTACACTGACACCTTTTCTCAAGGATCTTCCCCTTCACTGTAGGTCTGTAACAAGGAGCAGGAGGACACGCAGTTGTATGGCAAAAGGATTGGAGACTATGTTATATAAAGACCGTTTAAAGGAACTTGAGATGTTTAACCTGAAGAAGACTTGGTGGGGCAGGGGCAGTTAGTTGTCTTTCAGAGTTTTAACATTAGAAGGACCAGGTGTGTCAACTGACAGAAACACTTTATTACAATTTTACTTTCAAATAAAAATTTGCATCTTATCTCTATTTCCTTTGCCTCATGGATAAAAGCATGCACTGTGTCAATTGACACACCTTGGTCCTTCAAGGTCTCCTTAAATTCCAGGCCTTCTATTAACGGTGTAGAAGAAAGAGCACAAGACTTGGAGTCATTGGCTCTGGGTTTGAATTCTGGCATTGCTTCCTACTACCTGTGTGACCTAGGATAAGTCTCCCCACCTCTCAGAGCCTCAGTATTCTCATCAATAAAATGAAGCAGTGTAGTACGTGGAAAGAGTGCTTGTTTTGGAATCCAAAGACCTGGGTTCAAACCTCTCTTCTGACCTACTTAACCTTTTATTTCAGTTTCCTCATCTGTAAAATGATAGGGAAAGACCATCACAAAATCACAGAATTGAAGAGTCAGAAGGGACCTCAACAGCCATCCAGCAGAACTCATCCATGAAAAGAATCCCCACTACAACATACCCAACAAATGGTCACCTAGCCTGTGCTTGGAGGCTACCACCTCTGGAAGCTGCCCGTTTCATCTCTGGGGGAGTTCTCGTCGTTAGCAAGTTGACTAAATTGTCCTTTTTGTAACTTCTGCCCATTCCTCCTGGTTTTGTCCTCTAGGGCCAAACCCTCCCAGTTCTTCCAACTGATTCTCATATCCTCCTATGACATGGATTCAAGGCCCTTTACCATCACAGTTGCTCTCCTCTGTACACTCTCCAATTTGTCAATGTCCTTCCTAAATCATGATGCCCAAAATGGAACATAATACTCCAGATGAGGTCTCACAAGGAAGAGGAGGGAGGGAGTAAGCATTTATAGAGTGCCCACTAAATGCTGGGCACTGTGCTAATTGACTTTTATAAATATTATCTCATTTCATCCTCACAACAACACTGCAAGGCAGGTACTATTATTATTCCTGTTTTACAGTTGAGGAAACTGAGGCAAACAGAGATTTAAGTGACTTGTCCAGGGTCATGGGGCACTTAGGTCTTCCTGACTTCAGGCCCAGTGCTCTCTATCCCTTGTGACAGCAGCTGCCCCTAGGGAAGAATAAACTAACATATATTAAATATTATATATATATAATATTAAATATATTAAACAAACAAATAAATGAATGAATGATTCCTGGAAGCTAAAACCCTCTTAATGAAGCCCAAGATGGCCTTAGATTTTTTTAGCTGCTACACAAAATGCTGATTCATACTGAGCTTGGTGGCCATTAAAATCTTCACATCTTTTACAGAACCCCTGCTCTCTATCCATTCTGTCCCCATTTTATAACTGTGAAGTTGATTTTTTTAAAAAATCCAAATGTAAGGCTTTACATTTATCTCTTTCTGTTACTATGTTTAACTTCCCTCTTTCCCCTATTTAAGAGCAGGGACTTGTTTTTGTCTTTCTGTCTTCAGTGCCTTGCAGAGAACCTGGTAGTTGGCCCAATAAAGACTTATTGAACATCAGTGACTCTCTAGTCCCTGTAGCTGTCTAAAAATGGATTTGGTTGGTTCAGGAGGTAGTGAATTCTCTTTCAAGGGACAGCTTTAAGTGATGTCTGAATCCACTTTGGGGAATTCCTACTCGGATACCATTTGAAACAGATGATCTCAGAGGTGTCTCCTAACATTGTGATTCTATGAAAAAAAAACAACAAAGCAACAACTCATAAGCGATTTGTCCTTCTGAAGGAAAGCTGTACCTTTGTTAATATTTTACATTTTGTTTATATTGGGCTAACTCTCCCTCATTACTGGTCTTTGCTTTTGTTGACCAGCTGTTCTCATTGTTTATTATGTAATAAAGATATTTTCATTTTCAGATCCTAAAGCCTGTTGGAAGTGAATGCTTTCAGAATGTTTAGTTTGGGGACTTCTCTCTGCCATTTTGTTCTCTGTTAAACTTCAGGATGGGCTTGGATGTTGACTTGTGCATTAGAGCTTGGAGATCCCTTCACAAAAGTAAATCCTGCATTTTTCCTTCATCCTCAAAAACCTCTCACTTGATCCTTCCATTGCAGCTAGCTATGGTCCTATAGCTCTTCTGCCCTTTGTGGCTAAACTCCTTGAAAAGGCCATCTATGCTAGGTGCCTCCACTTTCTCTCTTCTCTCTCTCTTCTTAACCCCTTACAATCTGGCTTCCCATCTCATTCCAAGGAAACTGCTCTTTCCAAAGTTACCAATGATCTCTTAAATTGCCAAATCCAATAGTTTTCTCTCAATACTCATTCTCTCGACCCCTCTGCAACCTTTGAGACTGTTGATCACCCTCTTCTCTTTGATACTCTTTTCTCTCTAATTCTTCAGGCCACCATTCTCTCCTGGTTCTCCTCCTATCTATATGACCACTCCTTTCTAGGCTCCTTTATCTAGATCCTTATCTAGATCACATCCTCTAATTGTGGGTGTCACTCAGAGTTCTCTTTTTCCTCTTCTTCCTCTCTACTACTTCCCTTGATGATCTTATCAGTTCCCACGGATTAATTAGTCTCTATGCTGATAATTCTCAAATGTACCCATCCTTGCCTCAAACTCTCTGCTGACCTCCCATCTTCATCTCCAACTGTCTTTCAGACATCACAAACTAGATGTCCAGTAGATAT